GATTTTGGGGCTCAGCATCCCTGCACCATCCCCTGGGCTTGACATCACCCGTGGTCTCTTCCCCATGACTTTGGAGGGTGTTGGATGGTCGTGGTCTGACGCATTCCTTCCTCCTCCCCTTCCTCCTCCTCAGATGAAGAGATCCCGAGCTGCAAGGAGGCAGCAGTGGAGACGACGAGCTCGGAGGAAGAGCAGGAGCCTGGTTTCATGCCCATCACTGGCACCTACGGGCAGAGCCGGCACGGCGAGAGCCCCACGGACGGGCGCGCCCTGCGCCGCTCCAGCCGCGGCTCCTTCACCCGCGGCAGCCTCGAGGACCTCCTCAGCCTCGACCCCGAGGCCCATCAGAGCTCCATGTGGCTGGGCACCGAGGATGGCTGGTAGGTCCCCGGGGTGGGAATTCCTGCGTGGAATTCACGCCGGTTCTGGGGGAGCCTCAAGCTTTGCTCTCCTCCTGCAGCATCCACGTGTACCAGTCCTCGGACAACATCCGGAACAGGAAGAACAGCATGAAGATGCAGCACGCTGCTGCAGTCATGTGCATCCTGTAAGTGGGGAAGGGGGATTTTCAGCCCTGGGAGGGCCAGAGCAGGAGATTTTGGGCTTCTGCAGCTGGATGTCAAAGGTGGTTTTGTGCCCACAGGTACCTGGATAACCAGGTTTTTGTGTCATTGGCCAACGGGGAGCTCGTTGTGTACCAGCGGGAAGCAGGTGAGCTTGGATTTGGGATGTGGAAAATGCAGCCCCACAGTGGTGGCTGTTGGAGAGTGGCTTGGGCAGCCCCTGGGGAGGGATGCTAGGGGTGGCATCCCTGGAGGGATGCTGGAAACACCACACTCAGAGGCAGGTGGAGATGGGCATTCTTCTCCTGCTCCCTGCCTGCCACTGGAACCCCATGGTGGCATCAGTTTATGTCCCCTCTGAGGGGTGACCTGGAGGAAGTTGTCTTCAGCCACCACACCCCATTGTCCATATCGAGTTGGACTTGGTTTTGGGAACGCTTTACCCACCCCACTCTCCCCACCCTCTCAGGCCGCTTCTGGGACCCCCAAAACTCCAAGTCCCTGTCCCTGGGCTCACCGGGGAGCCCCATCACCAAGATGGTGGCGGTGGCGGGGAAGCTGTGGTGCGGCTGCCAAAACCGAGTCATCGTCCTCAACACCACCACGCTGGCACAGGAGGTACGGGGGGCGGGCACTCTGGGGGGTGGCACGGGCACCGGTGGCGCGGCCGGTGGCATCACCGGTGGCGTCTGTCCCCTCAGCACACGCTGCAGGTGGGGCAGGACGGCGGGCGCAGCGTCACCTGCATGGTGAGCGCGGGCAGCGGCGTGTGGGTCGCGCTGCAGGGCAGCGCCCAGGTGCGGCTGTACCACGCCACCACCTACGAGCAGCTGGCAGAGGCTGACATCACCCCCCCGGTGCACAAGATGCTGGCCGGTAAGTGACACCCGTGACGTGTCTCCGGTGGGTGCCACCGCCGCCTCCAAGGGGTGCCGGCGCCCCTGGAAAGTGCCCCGAAGCATCCGGTGCTGGGAGATTTAGGATGCTGGGTTTGGGGAAGGAGATGTGAGGCCTTGTGGGATTAACCAGGTAGCTGGGTAATCCCATGTGGAAAGGGGGCAGCCCCTGGGGAAATGGATAATTCCGTGTTGAAACACGTGGGTAATCCCATAATCACAGAATCGTGGAATTCCAGGATGGTTTCGGTTGGAAGGGACCTTTCAGATCATCGAATTCCAACCCCCTGCCATGGCAGGGACACCTTCCACTGTCCCAGGGTGCTCCAAGCCCCAGTGTCCAACCTGGCCTTGGACTGTTCCAGGGGTCCAGGGGCAGCCACAGCTTCTCTGGGCACCCTGTGCCAGGGCCTGCCCACCCTCACAGGAAGGAATTCCTCCCGACATCCTCTCAGTGGGAAGCCATTCCCCCTTGTCCTGTCAACCCAATGTGCTGCCACCACCCAGGGGGGCATTGTGAGCTCCCTTCCCCATGTCCCATGTGCCCTGGGGATGGATCCCTGTGGGTGGGGGTTCCCAGCCCCGTGTGGGGCAGGACAAGGCACCGACGCCGGGATGCCCGGCAGGCTCGGATGCCATCATCCGGCAGCACAAGGCCGCCTGCCTGCGGATCACGGCCCTGCTGGCCTGCAAGGAGCTACTGTGGATCGGGACCAGCGCCGGCGTGGTGCTCACCCTGGCCGTGTCCCCCAAGGCAGCCCCCACGCTGGTGGGGCTGTCCCAGGGCCACACCGGCCACGTGCGCTTCCTGACGGCCATCGAGCTGCCCGACGGCTTGGATGTCCTCTTCCCGCTGCCCAGGGACACGGGTAGGTGGGGTGGCTGGCACATCCCGCTCCTGGCACTTTCTGGGGGCAGTGCACAGTGTTTGTGGGGCTGGGAATGCTGTGCTGGATGACCAGGATATGTTGGCGTCCCTGTTCCTTTCTTGCCTTGTTAAAATCCAGGGTGAAAAACTGGCATTGGAGGGTGAGAAAACTGGACGCCAAACTTCCCTCTACCAGCACGGGCGACCCCAAATTTCCAAGGGAGACCCAAATTCCCACAGTGTCAGCCAGCCCAGCTCCGAGGCAGGGCTGGGATGGGGAGAAGGAGCAGATGGGATGGGAGCTGGCGGGAGCTAATTTGGGTTACAGGGACCAGTTTGGGCTGGGAGGTGCTGTTGGGATGAGAGGAGGTTTTTGGGGCCGGGATGTGGTGCCTGCAAAGCCGTGGAGGGTTGGTGCTGATGGAGGGTTGGTGCTGATGGAGGGTTGGTACTGGGGACCAGCGGAGATGGTGACAGCATTTTGGGGGGTTCTGCGCCTGGCAGGGGCCGAGAAGCCGAGCGAGGCGGAGAAACGAGACCCGTCCCGGCCCCGTGCCCCCGCCCTGGCCCTGTCCAAGCCCAAGATGTTGGTGATCAGCGGCGGCGACGGCTACGAGGATTTCCGGCTGACCAGCAGCAGCGAGACCGTGGGCCGGGACGACAGCACCAACCACCTCCTCCTCTGGAGAGCGTGACCAGCCACGGCCCCCCCGGGCCGCCCCGGCCAGGATCGGGGGGTGCTGGCCCCCCTGTGCGCAGAGGGGGGGTCCCGGCCCCCTCCCCACCGCCCCCCGCCCCAGCACCTCTCATCTCCAGCCCGGCTGCTCTCTGTGTGCTCGGGGTTGGGGGGATGAGCCCCGCTCCCCCCGCCGTCCCCCCGGCCGCCGCTGGACTCGGGGGGGACACACAGCGCTTCGGGGGCCTCCGGAGGATGGGGAGGGGGCGGGGGTGTCGCTTGGGAAGGCGCTGCGGAGGAGGAGGAGGAGGAGGACGGTACCGAGCATCCCTGGGGACCGGCCGGAGGATGCCCGACTGCCCGGAACCTGCCTTGCTCTCCGGTTTTGTGTGTGCCTGCTTCACGGGGCGGGGCCGTCACCCCCCCGGCCCCCGGGACCCCCGGCCACGCCGCGGGACCACCCCAGGGACAATCCGCCCGCGGTGTCCCCCCCGGCCCGGGCCGCCCGCTAACCCGCTCGCTCCATCGCCAGCACCCAGATAGCTCTGTTCGTTTGTTCGTTTGTTTTAAATATATATATATATTATATATATATAAACATCCTTATTTATTTGGGGGCTTGGGGAGGGGGCAGGGGCATTTCGCCGCGCTGCCGGTCCCTCCGCTCCGGTTCAAACTTCCCGGGCATCGCCCCGAGGGAGAGCCTGACCCCGCTGGACCGGGCCGGTGGAGGGGAGGAGGGAAGGAAATTTGGGTGTGCCCCCTCCTTCTCTGTGATTCCCAGTGGGATTGTGCAGCCTGGGAAGTGGGATGAAGGCGCTGCTGCCGTTTGGAGCATCTCTGGATGAGAACAATCATCTTCAGCCACCAGGGCTGTCCCCCAACCCTTCCAATGGGGTGACAGTGTGGGGGACCCTAAAAATGAGACTGTGCTGGACCAACCCTCCCCCATGTGCCCTTTTTCTCCCCCATTTTCCTGCTTTCACCCCAGGATCCAGGCGAGATCAGTGCTCCCAGATTGGGACACCCTGTTGTCCCCATGGGAGACGTGACAGCCGTGGTGGCAGGGATGAATCAGGGTGTTCCCAGTCCCACACAGCTGGGTGAGTGACAGGAACGCTGCCATCCCACATGGAGCCATCCGTCTGTCCGTCAGCGGGGTGAGTGGGTGTGTGCTATATTTGGGGCGATGAGGATATTTTGGGAAAGGGGTGGGGGGGATTTCGGTCACTCGGGGGCTCTTTGTTATTAAAGGTCACCCGTGCCAGAATGATCCCGGCGTGGTCTCGTCCTTCACCTCGGGATGGGGTGGCAGGGACAGGCTGAGGAGGGGCACGGCTCCCACCGCCCGCTGGGAATGTCACCCACCGGTGCCACTGGTGATGAAGACCCCGGTGGGAGGAAGAAGCCGTTTCCACCGCTGGGGTGCAGTTATTCTGCCCTGGATAACCCCGAGGGGGGTATCGGGATATCGCTCCCGTGTGCCACAGAGCATCGGGACACTCTCCGGGTGGACAAGCAGCCGAACAGGGGACACAGGAGGTCCTGGGGAAAACCGAGGGGAATAGAAGGAACGGCAGCCGGGTGTCCCCAGTGTGGGAAAGCTGTCCCCTGGGGAACAGGACAAGGCATGGTAGGAAAGCGGGGTACAGCACTTACAGATGCCCCCTGCGAGCCCACACGGGGAAGAAAACAAAAAAAAAAAACCCTTTTTCTTGCTAATTTAAATTCCTGTTGGGCAGGTGGCACCCGCCCCGATCTGGTTGTTCCCGTTTTCCCCGCGGCCGGGATAAAGCCCATCCCAAATCCCGCCCCGGGCCGGGATCGGCAATTCCCGCAGTCCCCGCCGCGGCCGGCAGGTGGCGCCGCCGCGGCGCACGAGGGGGCGTGGCTATTCGCGTGATGTCACGGAACGGGGCGGGGCCTGCGGGGCCTCAGGCCCGCGGGTTCATTCATAAGGAGGAGGCGGGAGCGACGGGGCCGCCCCGGGGGGAGCCCGGGGGCTCCGCGGCGGGGACAGGTAGGGGACACCCCCGGGACACCCCCGGGACAGGGACACCCCCTCTGCCCGGGGTATTCCCCCCTAAAGGCCGTTTCCCAATGCGGGGCTCTGGGCTCGGGGTTTCTGCAGCTCTGGGATGGGCGAGGAGGGGGCCTCTGGTGCTTTTTGGGGTGCTCGACCCCCCGCTTTGCTGGCTTTGTCTCGGCTCTTTTGTCCCTAAAGCACTCCCGCCGGGAGTGGGGTGCGCCCCGCGGGGCTGCGGCTGCTGCGGCGCCAAAGTAGGCTAAAATAAGGGGTGGAGAGGAGAAAAAGTAGGTTAAGGAATACTCAGCAGCAGCTGCCTGGGAAAAGACGTGGCAGCCGTGCCAGGTCTCTATTTTATTTTTTGCCGCAGCTGGAAAATCCCATGGCTCGGAGCCAGGGGCCGGGGATGCTGCGGGATGCTGCGGGATGCTGCGGGATGCCGGGACGTGGCTCTGCCGGGGCTGCGCGCCTCCCCAGCGCTTCCCCGGGGCTCGTTTGACTTTAACGCTGGAATTTCGTGGCGGCTTGGTCGTTCCCACAGCTCCCCTGGGAGCCGGGGGGGCGGTAATGCCGAGTTTCGCTCCATCTGCCGGACAATCCCCTCCTTGTCCGGGGCTGTCTCCGCAGCTGTTCCCCGAAGTTTTTCCGAACAGTTGCTCCTTTTTCCCTGCGTTTGTCTGCAGGAGCCGGCGGCTGAAACCCTGCTCCCCCACGGGGAGGGGAAGCCCCGACTGGAATCCCGGCGGGCAGTTTTGGGTTACGGATTCTATTAAGGGGGGGCTGGGAATAAACGGCTCATGTGATCCGGAGGGATTTCGGGACGTTTCCAAAACCGAGTCGCCTCTCCTGGCGTGTTGGCATTGATGCGCCGGTCAGGTGGGGCTCGGGGCTTGGAGAGTCCCCAAAAAGAGCCGGGTCTGGCGCTGGCCGGGTTATTTTTGGTTCCCTCTGCTTCTTGGAGGGGCAAACTCTGTGGGTTTGGGGAGTGTGTCAGGGCAGCTGGGCTTCCCAGCGTCACCAGCCGGGGGGTCTGTGCCTGTGTATCCCATCCCCACTTGGGATGGCCCCAAGCTGCCCCCAAAAGCGGGTGCTGAGTCCTGGGCAAAGCTCCAGTGGCAGCCAGGGGCTGGCACCCCCTGATCCCTGCACCTCCTGCGGCCCTACGGCCTCCTGTTGTTCATCTGAGGGATGCCCTTAATCCCGGGATTAAGCTTGGCCTCCAATCAGCTTTACCCCTGCTCCTGGCGGTGTTTAGATCCAGTTATCCTGATCTGGAATGCTCGTGGTCCCTCGGCCACGGCGGGACCTTCCTGTCCCGTTTCTTCCCCAGCTGAGCTGCTCCCCAGGCGTCTCAGTGTGTCCCCAAAGTGCTCAAATTGCACGGCCCCAGGGAATTAAAATGCTCCACGTCAGGCTTAAACTCGAGTTTTATTGGATTATAGGATGGAGAGCTTGCACAGGGCACCAGCATCCCTTTGTGCTCGAGGGGCACATCCCGAATCCCTGGGGGATTCAGGAGCGGGGCTGGCTCCGTGCTGGCATCCTGGGGGAGTGCTCTGTACTGGGAGGGGACTGGAATACAGAGGATGCTCGTTTTGGGGTCTGCTCCTTTTGGGTCTGCTCATTTTGGGTGTCCCAACCCACATTCTATAAACCCGGCTCGGCCCCGCTCACCCCCAGGACCCCTCACATGTAATTAGCCACATCTCGGCGTGGTGCTGGCCACTAATTAGGAGAAACTCGTCAGGCACAGGCTGTAATGAAGCTCTGCCAGGGCTCTCACAGGACCGTGACGACCGGGGGGAATTTCCATGCGGGCGGCAGGATTTCCATGCGGAGGCTGGATCCGGGTTTGGGTTATTATTTATTTTTTCCTTCCTTCCTTCCCCTGTGCTGTCAGCATAGATTTTAATTTTAACAACCAATTGCTGAGCCTGAAGAGGGGGGATGAGACTCTGGGAAACGCCTCTTGTTTTGTTCGAGATTTGATTTAAATATTTTTAAAATTTTTTTTAGTGACTTCATTTCCTTGTGACAGATGCAAAAGGATTTCCTCCGGAGCAGGAAAAACCTTTCTTTAACTTTGTTTAGCATCATCTGCTCCTTGCATGAATGGTGTGACTCCACTGCTGAGGTTGGTCCCTCTCCAGTTTGGGATGGAGCTGGGATCTCCAAGGGAAGGGGTGATGCTGGGCATTCCATACAATCTCTGAAATAACTTTCTGGGGGATAGGTCAGGACTGCTGCTCTAGGGATATTTAGGCAGCATCCCAGAGGGGTGAAAAAGGGCCCCCAAATTGCTTCTCCAGTGGGACTGTCCCTGGATGATGACCCCGGTGCTCCCCCTTGGGCAGGTCCCCCTGGGTGATGAAGAGGAGCGGGATGCACTGGTGGCTTGTCACCGTCCTGGGGGTGAGTATGGCCTCGTCCATCCCATCCCCATCCCATTCCCATCCCATCCCTCTGCTTCTCCGATGCTCCACCACCACCCCATCACCACACAGGACACGGGGATGGTTTTGCATCCGTCCCGGTGCATCCAGTGAGTTCGTATCCCTCACCCCGCTGGAGAAAGCCATCCGCTGGGGCAAGCGACAGGGTGGCGTGTGCCACCGTGCCACGGAAGCCGCAGCGCTGCCGGCAGGAGCGGCGCTGAGCGCTCCCATCTCCCGCAGGTGCTGAGCGGAGCTGCCCGGAGCGCCGGGAGCTGCAGCGCCCCGGAGCACGGCACAGCGGGATGCCCGCCCGGAGCCGAGCCCAGCGGGGTAAGCCGAGCCCAGCGGGGTAAGCCGAGCCCAGCGGGGTAAGCCGAGTCCAGCGGGATAAACCGAGTCCAGCGGGATAAGCCGAGCCCGGCGCGGTAAGCCGAGCCCGGCTGCGGGACCCGCGCACGGCTCACTCCCTTTCCCGTCCCGCAGGATCCAGCGGGGTCGTGCCGAGCTTGTCCCCCCGGCACCTTCTCGCCGGGGGACGCGTCCTGCGCCGCTCACACGCCGTGCCGGGCCGGGAACAGGGTGCTGGTGGCAGCGGGGACGGCGGCGAGCGACAGCCGCTGCGGAGCGTGCCTGCCGGGGTGAGCCCGGCCGGGGAGCCGAGCCCCAGCCCCGCCCGGGCTGGGGGCCGTGTGCTGACCCTGCCCTCCCGCCCCGCAGGTTTCACAGCCCCGGAGGGGAGAGGGAGCCCCGGGGCCGGTGCCTGCCCTGCGCCGCTGCTCCCCGCAGCACCCCGGGGTGCGCAGGTGGGTGCTGCAGCCGCAGGTGTCACCCCGGGGACGCCGCGGGGAGTGTCCCCCCTTGGGATGGCCTGGCAGCCGAGGACACCTCTGGGATCCAAGCCTGGGGTTTATCCCAGCAAAGCTCCTCTCTGAGGGTGATCCCGTCCTCCCCGCAGGCCGGCGGCGAGCCCGCAGCCCCGAAATGCCGGGCCGGGCACCGGGAACCAACGGGACGCGCGTGACCCTGCTGGGTGAGGAAGAGGAGGAGGCGGCAGCAGCGCAGGCGGCCGTGCTGACCATCGTCCCGGTCTTCTGTGCCATGGGGTTGTTGGGAATCCTGGTGTGCAACCTGCTGAAGAAGAAGGGTTATCACTGCACAGCCGGCAAGGAGCCCCAGCCCGGTGGCACCGGTGAGCCCCGGCGATCCCACGTCCCTCTCGTCCCACATCCCTCTCGTCTTGCTCAGCCCATTCCTATGGTTGCTGGTTCTCCTTGTCCCGGGGCATCCTGGGGTGCCTCATCCCCCATCACCGAGTTTTCCCTGACCTCTGCTTCCAGGTGCCAGCTCCATCTACCAGCTGGAGGATGCCAACGAGGACACCATCGGGGTGCTGGTGCGGCTGATCACCGAGAAGAAAGGTCAGGGGGTCCCTGGGAAGGGGGAGGAGGGGGTGACCTGGGCCAGAGCCCCGTGACCCCCAGCCCCTTGGTGCCCTCCCACACGCAGAAAATGCAGCGGCGCTGGAGGAGCTGCTGAAGGAGCACCAGAGGCAGCAGCTGGTGCCACCGAGCTGTGCCCCCCTCAATAAGTAAGAGTGTCCCCTGAGGACCCCCCCGTGCTGGGATCACCCCCACGCTGATGCCGTTTCCCCCCTCCCCAGGCTGCACCTCCTGCCTCAGTTTCCCCCAGCCTGCCAGCACCAGCAGCACCCGCACACGGTGCAGGGAGCGGCCCCGTGTGCCCGCTGCGACCAGAAGTGGCCCGAGGTGCTGCCGTCGCTCGGTGCCACCAAAGTCCCCAAACCCGGAGCTCCTCCCAGCGAGGTGACCATCCTCTCCATCGGCAGGTAGGCAGGGACGGCCCCCGGTGTGTGTCCCCTCCGCAGGGGTGGGGACAGGCTGACGTGCTGCTCCCCAACAGGTTTCGGGTGTCCCGGATCCCTGAGCTGAGGAGCGAGGCAGGGGGGGAGCCCCTCCGTGGTCCCCTCCCCGGCGGCAGCGGGATGTGACCCCGGGATGGAACAGCACCAAGGGCCCCCACGAGGTGAGGGGGGGTCGTGGGGAGCCCTGAGGTCCTTCCTGGACAAAGAGGTTCTGAAGGCTGGGAAAGGGGAGCATTAAGGCCGTGGGGACACGGTGTGGGGACAGTGAGGCAGGAGGGAGGGGGTGTCCCTGCTGCAGGGTGCTGGCAGGGCCTGGCACGGGGTGGCACGGCCAGGGGCTGCTCCGTGACTCATGGGCAGCTGCAGGGGCTCACGTGCCCTCGCTCACGTCCCCGTGTCCCCTCCTCCAGCAGCGCTGCTGCTGTGACCATCCAGCTCTGGGCCCCTCCCGACGTGAGCATGGAGGGGCTGGAGAGTGTCCTGGACAGGGAACGGAGCTGGGAAGGGAATGGAGCACCAGGAGAGGCTGAGGGAGCTGGGAAGGGGCTCAGCCTGGAGAAAAGGAGGCTCAGGGGGGACCTTGTGGCTCTGCTCCCAGGGAACAGGCACAGGACAAGGGGAAACAGCCTCAACAAACTGTGCCAGGGGAGGTTCGGGTTGGGTAGTGACAGCCAGGGGTGGGTGACACCGAGTGGCTCCTGCCACCATGGGTGGTGCCAAGGGGCCATTCCAGGCTCACCTGTGGCCCATCCCTTGTCCTCCACAGCAGGCACCTGGCCTGGGGGCTGCCTCGGGGTCAGTGACACCCACAAAGACCCCGTGGAGGGGGTGGAGGACACTGGGCATTGTGAAAGCCAGTCCAGCTCAGAGCTGCGAAGTGCTGGAGGTGGCAGCTCAGCTTCTGCTCCCGCCTCCAAGGTGTCCAAGAGCAGCACAGCAAATCCAGCGTCTCGCTCGGCTGGTGAGAAGGATTCTCTGTCCCTGAGGCCTGAGGGTGGCCACGGCGTGGTGGCCTCGTAGATTGGAACTCCAGGAGCTGCGATGCCAGTGGTGGTGGCCACGGGAATCATCATCTCTGGGAACCACGGTGCCACAGCACAGCTCCACTGGAAGCACAGGGGGCACTGGATGCCATTTCATGGTCACCCTCTGGGTCTGTTGAACTCTCCAGGACCATCACGAACTCCTGATTTCCCTCCATCACCTGGTGCCGGCGCTCAGGATAATGAATCACTGGATCACAGAATGATTCCCCCCTTCCCAGCTGGGGCACGGATTGCTCTGGGCAAAGCTGGTCTCCTGCATCCATCCATGATCCATCCATCCATCCATCCATCCATCCATCCATCCATCCATCCTCTCTCCAAAGTCTCAGCTCAGGAGCACACAGGGCTGATGCTCACCATGCAGATGACACATTTCACTTTCCATAGGAATTGCTCCTATGGGGTCACACTGGCTTGGCCGTGTTGGGATCACTGGGATAACCCACCCAAGGTTGGGTTGGAGGCCATCAGCCTCAACCACCACCCCAAAAAAGGGTTTATGGCTGGTCCCATTCACCTCCCCACGACATCACCATGCCAAAAAACCAACCACCAAACCCTCTGGGGCTCTTTTATTTATTTATTTAATTTTTTTTGGAAACATTTTAATAGTTATCGAATGTTCTACATCTTACAGTAAATATCGTACAGTTACAAACTCTTGGCTGAAATCTGTCAGGGAGATCACGACCTGATCTTCAGAACCAAAACCAGAACAGAAAACAAACGGGAAAACAACCCCAAATTTACACTTCAGATGGACAAACTGAGGCTGTGGGGCTCTCCAGGGCATCAGTCCAAGGCCATGTTCCCTACACACCTGTGAGATGTAGACTTGGAAGACGTGGTTACTCTTGGGTTGAAATTTTTTTATTTTTGTTGTTGTTCTTTCAGGGAATTTTTTTGGTATTTATTTTTATTTAAGAGGTCCAATAATACTTAAAAACGAGCTGGTCTGGTGGTCAAAATCAATTTAAAATTAATTACACGGAAAGAGGGGTGCGAGCCTGGTGTGGGTTGAGGCCGTGTTGTGGGAATGGGAGGGTTTGGGTGTGATCCTGCACTTTGCCATGCTTCCCTACAAATCCCTCCCCTGATCCTGAACCCCTCTTCCCCCTGGAAAATTCCATCTCCCAGCTCCATCTCTTGCAGGAGGATGCAGGGAGGCTGCAGGTGGCCATGTTGCATCAAGATTATTCCCTACAAGCAGCACAAGCGAGCGCTTCCAAACGGGAATCCTCCCAGATTTTGCTATTCCTGCCCTGCAAACATTCCCACAAGGTCTTCTACCTGATTGCCAGAGAATCTCCAAGTGCCATGGTGCAACATGCCACAGAAATGCCTTTTCCAAGGATTTCCTCCCTCCCAAGCTCCGTCACAGGCTTTATTTTCCTTTTTTTTTCCTCTAAGGGAATGCTAACACACAGCAGAGAAAATATTTGGAGGCTGATCCTGGCTCAGGAGCAAAGCCAAGGGAAGATGGGCAGAGGGTCACCACAGTTGGAGGGCCTGAAAATATTGGCAATTAGGAAAAAAAAACCAAACCAAAAATACCTGGATTTATGGGTATCCAGCAGCTCTTATTGCTATTGTTGGCTGGTTGGATTTTACCAAAAATAAAGCCTCAAGTGTTATTTTTTTCCATCCTGCTAAAAAAACCAGGATCTCATTTCATGCCCTCCAGCTGGGAACCACATCATCCCCACATTCCCAGAGGGGATGGCAAAGAGTCAGGGGGGTCTCTCTGGGAAGGACCAGATTCAGTGGGACGCTGGTGGCTGGAGGAAAACCTGATGCTCTGAACACCCCTCGTTAAAACAAACCCCTTAAATAACATTTCCTGGGAATTACATCCCAAAACTGCAACAGTGCTGAACAGAGTGATTTGTTATTCATAAAATGCAGTAGCAAATCCTTGCCTGGAGGGTTCAGCCACTTGGAGACATGATGGCCTCAGGCTCCAAGGGGCTCCTGGGCTTTGGGGGTCACCACCACCACTAAAATCCTATTTTCCCCCCAAATCTCACCTCGCAGCTTGTGTTTTGAAGTAAAGGTAAGGCCTGGGATGGGTTAATGGTTCAGAGTTATTTTTCCTTCCTCTTTAGCTGGAATTTTAATCTCAGACACTTCGGTGGCTGCTAAGGATGGTTTAACCCCTCCTGCTCTTTCCCACTGCTGCCCAGTGTGATCCTTCACTGTGGAAAACCCTTTTCCTCAACCAACATCAGCAAAGCTTTGCTGGAATAAATATTTGAGAAGCTGGTGGCCCTCATCAGTGTTCCCCACTGTGACCTTCCCAGGACGCTCAGTTAAGCCATGACTTGACCAAGGGAAGGATTTGGGATCAAGGGAAGGGCAGGGAGCATCTCCCCAGCACCACAGCCCCTCCTTGGGAAGGAGCTACCCAAGCCTGGCACTCTGTGGTGGCCCTGGTTCCACACAGTGGCTCAAGGCTGGTTACCAATGTCCTCACGAAAGCCTCTGGCCCAACAGGTGGCAAATATTTCACCTCTCCACACTTTGGTTAATGAGTATTTCTGCCTGGGAATAATGGGATGAGGAGCTCTGGATCTGCTTTTGATCCAAGCAAAGGAATTAAAACCCAACTGTCCCGTGTTAGGGCTCATCAGTGGGATCCACCACGCTCAACTCCTGGGGCTTTCTCCCCCACCTTTAATGTTTCTTTTCCTTCCAGGAGAAAGCCCAACATCTCCTTTCCACACACGGGCCAGAATTTTAGGAGTGGTTCCTAACGTGGTGCAGGGTGTCTGGGACAGTGGTGGGATGGTGTCTGCTGGGACAGGGACCCCAAAGCTCACTGCACCCCACAAACCAGAGCGCCTTTTGGGAGGCCTGACTCAATGCTGACAGACATTAACACAAAGTCAGCATGAGAGGGGGAAAAAGGGGATCTCAGAAGTCTTCAGTTCTTAGGATCTGGGGATTTTTTTGGCCCAGGTTTAACTGCAATGTGCTACAAACAGTGCAAGGATGATGTGTTGGTGCTATTTACCAAGGTCCTGCTGTTCTTTACTAATCCTTGGCTTTGCCAAGCCAAATGGGGAACCCACTGCCTATTTGCTCTTTTTCTCTTTTTTCCTTCTCCTTTCCCTCAATACCAGCCCAAGGGTGCCCCTTCCCCACCCCACAGCACTGGTGTCCCCCCACAGCAAATCTCCCCCCACTTTGTTCCTCTTGAGGCTGAGGAGGGCAACCAGAGCTTTGCTCTAGATTTCCTTCAAAACCAGCAGAATCAACCAAATGACCCCCAAACAGAAGTGCCAACACCCAACCTGACAAACCTCCTGGGACCAGCCAGTGGGAGGGAAAGTCCTCCTGGGATCCCTAGGCTTGTTACTCCCCACCTGGCCCATGCTCCAGGGAAGGAGCTCCAGGAGCAGAAGCCAAGCGGGGAGACTCCACCGAGAGCACGGAACACTTTTGGCACACTTGAGGCAAAAATCAAAACCCAACCAAGCTTTTGTCTTAAAAAAACCCCAAAGAAGTCCCAAAAACCTTGTTTCTATGCTGGGTTTAGTGACAAGGATTTAAAAACAAACTGGCCACAAGCATTGTCTGCAAATCCAAACTGCCTCTGCTGCCCTCAAGACAACTTATTGCTCTACTTGGACACCCCGAGGGGGGATGTCACCAGCTTCCTGTCCCCATGTCCCTGGGTAAGCCAAACCCCCCCAAAATGACCCTGATGCCCACAGCCCCTGCGTGCCCAGTGTTCCCCATCCTGGTCCATGTCAAGTGTGGATCACCTTCCCTGCTGTCACCTCTTCTCAGGTGCCCTCCCGTGAAGGAGGCGACGTGTTTATTGCTATTTCTTCCTCCTCTCCCACCTCTCCAAGCAGAGCAGCCAGACATCATCCCCCTCCCCGGCCTTCCTCCATGGTGCTGGTATTTGTGCTTGGATGAACATTTCTCCTGGAAGTCTTGGAGCTGGAACCCAAAGAATGGGAGGGGGACACCTCAACTGCCATGGAGGCAGCGCAGTTTGGTCTCAGCCCTGCCAACACCATGGGTGCAAGCTGAAGCCACCCACCTTGCCTTCACCCTGCCTTGAAGACTCATCTCCATCAACCAGACGCCCTCCTTTCCCACACCACCATACTCTGGAGAAGCTCTTCAGACCAAACCCTGAACCTGGAGGAGCTCCTCAGACCAAACCCCGAACCTGGAGGAGCTCCTCAGACCAAACCCCGAACCTGGAGGAGCTCCTCAGACCAAACCCTAAACTGAGAAAAGCTCTCCAGATCAACCCTTGGACCTGGAGAAGCTCTCCAGATCAACCCTTGGACCTGGAGAAGCTCTCCAGATCAACCCTTGGACCTGGAGAAGCTCTCCAGATCAACCCCTGGACCTGGAGAAGCTCTCCAGCCCAACCTTTTGACGTGTCCTTGCTTCCCTCAGCAGCTGCCCAGCACATCTCTGCCTGCAAACAGCAGCCACACAGGGAAGGAGCCGCCTTCTCCCTCACACTGCCCCAGGACGTGGCTGAGGGGGAGCATCCCGTTTTCCCAAGGGGTTCCAGATGCTGACAGGGCATGCATCTTCCTGCTGCTCCCTTCCCATCACCCATGATCCACGTGCCCAGTTGGAAAAAGCAGACCAAAGACCCGCTGGTGACCAGTCCTCATGCTTCCTAAGACAAGTGTGTTACGTCGCTAATTATATTTATATTCTCTTACTCCTACAAAAAGAAGGGATGAGTTCAGAATTCCACTGCAGATAATGCATTTATAATCTATCACGACAGCTATCTGGAAGACACCAATTTTCTTGTAATATGTTATGAAAGATTGAATAATTTATATTCTTCAACTAAAAATACCCAAACCAAATCGGAATAAGCCTGCCTACCAGCGCTGTGCTTTTCACATAGTACCCTGAACATCAACCACTCTTACTAGCCAAAAAAAATCTAGGCTCTTGTCAACAACAACGACAACAGAAAAATAACAAAAAGAACCCAAACGAACAAGAAGTGGGGGGATCTCTGCACCACTCAGCTGGGCAATGCTGGAAAAGTGAAGATTCTGAGCTTTCAAATGATAGGACCGAAGAGAGAACTTGACTATTGCTCAGTGTCAGTATGTGTGTTACACAATTCATGTGGGAGGGGGAGGAAGGGGGGGAAAAAAAGAGGCAGAAGATTAGAAAAAGCAGCTTTTACAAAAACCACTAAAGAATGCATAAAGTGACCCTTGCACTTTTTTTTTTTTCTTTTGTTCTTGCAAACAGACGAGGCGCTGAAGCCCAGCGGCCGCAGCGCCGATGTAAGACTTGTGTAGTTGCATACAATGTTTGACTCCGGATCTGGAAGAGAGCAAATACATTAAAAACAGGGAGTTAGAAGGATGTTCTCCTCCTCTCCGCACCCCTGCACCACGTGGAGCTGATCCTTATGGAATTTAACAGTCCCTGTGGGCAATTTGTCAGGCAAGAGAGCTGGGAAAGCAGCAGCTCGCCGGTGGTATCCAACGCAGAGGATTACAAATATGCAGATGAGCTGCTCCCTGCTAATTGCACACCAATTTGGGAGGGGCAGGATTAGCCCGGCGTAATTTGTGCGGCACTGAGAGATTTTAGATAACCCCGGGGCTGGATGGGATCTCCCTGGGCAGCATCGTGTTCCCATCAGCTGCCTGTCCTGGTAATTGGGCATGATGGGCCAAGGGCTGCAGGAACAAGCAGCTGGGATTTCTGGGATCCCAGGCATGACAGGAACACACAGGCATGCAACCCCGCGCTAATGAACAGCGTGATCTCCCAGCAGGGGAAAGGAAATATTCCAGTGACAGAAAGACGGGGAGGGACTCTTTGTCAGGGAATGCGGCTAGAATGGTTTCAAAGTGCCACAGGGCAGGGTTAGATGGCACATCGGGAAGGAATTCCTCCCTGTGAGGGCAGGGAGGCTGTGGCACAGGGTGCCCAGAGGCAGCACTCACATGGATTGGCCAGTGGTTTACCAGTGTGGAGGTACGTAGCTGTAGGTGGGGGTTCCTTGAGCCCTGTACGTTGGCACGGACACTGGATGTGCTCCGATGGCGGTGTGTTGGGGGGTGGTCAACAAGGTTCCTGCAGGGACACAGAGACACTTGTCACGGAGCAGAGGAGCTGCCATTCGTGGGTACAGTGGGGCAGGAGCAGCATCAGCTGCCTCCTTTTCCCTCTTCCACTTTTTCCCTTTTCCCTGATAATTCTTCTGCCTGCCAGACCTGATTCAAAAGTGTTGGACCCACATGATTGGGATCAGGCAGCACCACAAACAGAATTAGAGCCCCTGAAGCTCCAGCAGATTTTCCATGCTACCTCTGGCCCTTAACCTGAAGGGTTTTCCTTGTTTTTTCCAGTGACCCTTGTCCCTGAAGACAGGAAGCAAAGCTGGCCACAACCTGCTGACATCTACCTGCTGAAAGCACTGGGCTAAACTGGGACAGCAAATCAGTGCACAGATCTGAAACAAACTGGAAGGGATGAGGGATGCAAAGGGAGATGAGGAAAAAAACCCAACAGACCTCCATGGAAAATTAAGATGAGCCTTTTTTTAAGTCTGCAGCCGGTCAACAGAGAGATTTTAGGTCAGAATTTGCACAGTGCCTTCATGGGGATGGAGGACACAGCCCTGGACTACTCTGTTCTGGGAGCAACTGGGTGCTCAAACCAAATTCTCAGTTTCTGGGTATCTCTCTGCAAATGTTATTAATGGAATTCTAACACAACCCACGTGCATTAATTACATTTATCCACTTCTCAATATAAGCAACAGTAAATCTCTCAGAGTGGTTCTTGTCACATCCAGGCTGCAATATCTCTGCTTGGAATAGGGATTGTGTCCCATTACAGACTCCTATTTCACAGCTAATGCAGATGCAAAAGGATGAATGATGCATTTCTTGGCATAATTCAATATACAATCCCAAGAATTGTTAAGGAGAAAAATACAGGCTTTGGAAAAAATAAAACCAGCCCCTATCTTACTTAATGTGCTATTAATTACAGTTAGAATCTGCATGTAAAATGTAGAGGAACTGGGATAGATAAAACAAGGTTAACATTCATTTTGTCAGACAAAAAAACATGACCAAAAGTCTCTTTAAAAAAAGAGCATGAGGGAAATACAACTAGTTGAGGACGGACCAATCTGGTTATTCCTTCACTTAGGGAACAGACAGAGGAATGGACAATATATTTAAGGATACAGAATAATATATGTAAAGATACAGAATAATATATGTAAGGATACATAATAATATATCTAAGGATGCAGGAGTGAGCCAAACCAAAGATCTCCTCCACTGAGTCAGATCAGGATTTGGGGCAAATTACTGCATTTCTGCCTGCACAGGAGCAGCGCCCATCAAACAAAACCAGCAGGTGAACCGAGGGTTGGGATGCAGGGGGAATTTTTTTTTGCCCAGGCCTCAGAGCAGGGGAAGGGCTGTGTCCTTACCTGCTGACATTGCCATGGTGGTGCCAGCCACCATGCCCATGGCCACGCCGTTGGTGCGGGGCGCGGCCACCGGCGCCGGGTAGATGGCCGAGGGGATGCTGTTGGGCTGCACCACCGTGGTGTGGTGGATGACGTGAGGCTGGGCCGCGTACACGGGCTGGGTGTAATAAGCTCCCTGTTGGAGAAGGGGAAAAAAAAAAAAAACAAATGCCACCATCATTCCAGGTTCTTTCCCAAGCTAAGGAGTCCTGGGTTCTGTGACTCGAGCTCTGCCGAAGAGCTGGTGTTTCCGTGGATGAGCTCCCGTGCCCATGATTGTCGCCCTGATTTTGTAAGACTTTGTTAAGCCTTCTGATGTTTGCATTCTTTCAACAAACTTTCTCACACACAGTTCTGTAAATAACCTATGTTTTGCATTCTTTCATGGAGGTGGAGAGAATTGATGGACCCTTGGTCTGTCCAGTGGCATTGGAGAGGTGGCACTGTCACCCTCCAATCCACTGTCACCTTTGGAAAACTATAAATGTTGGAGTCAGAAAATAAAGTTTCTCTTCTTCTTCCTTTTTGGTCCCCTCGAGAGCAGCACTGTCTGTGTCATCATTTCGTGCCGTATCACAACACATGATGCCTTGTGAAGGCTGAGCTAGAGCAGAGGCTGGGCAGAGTTACAGATTAAAGCAGGGATTTATTAAAAGGATCTCCTCCATGGATCCATTTTGGGCAGCACAAGAGCCCAGCCAGGGCTGCACCCAGGATGAACCAAAATGGTCACAAAATGCACGAGTGCTCTCATTTTTATAAGCTCTACTCCATTTGCAGATTGCAGTTAATTGTCCAATTACAGCTTTAGGTTATGAAGTCCCATTCTTCCTGTTTTCCTTCTCTCTTAATTTCACCATTGTTTATGCTCTTAGGCCTGAAATTTGGATCATCCTTGGTCCCCAGCTAGAGAAGGAATTGTTTTGTCTCCCTACTCTGTGAAGAGCTCACCAACACTTAACATGAAGCTCAGAACTGCACACCTAGGCAGAACAGAATCTGAAAAATATGAAAGCTAAAACCTGAGGCATCACCTAGAGACCTGAACCTGGGGATATGGGGAATGCATGAGGAGGGAATCAACAGTCAAGGAGTCAATCCATCCAGGACAAACCCTGCTGCCTCCCTTTGGTGGGATGAAACAGGGCCTGGACACAAACAACTGCTGGTATAGAAAATGAACAAAAGATGGGAGGAAAGGACAAGCCATGGTTCTTGGATGATCCCAAGGCGCTTGGGTCCAGTATTGTGTCATCTTCTTGGGTTTCACACAGGGCTCCAAAATCCAGGCTGCCAAGGCTCACAGGGTTTTGAAACAAGGGGAGAAGGATACATGGGAATAAAAGGAGCCAACAGGAAAAGAAGAAAAAGCTTCTCATAGTAATGAAGAGCCTGAAATGAGGAGATGCACAAGGGAGAGAACTGCTGTCCCCAGGACAGGCAGCAGCATTGTAAGGACCTGCAAACCAGGCATGGGAGGAAAGAAAACAAGGATCTGAATCAGCAAAAGGGAGATTTTACTGTGCATTAGTGAAAGCCCCATTAGAGAACCTCTGAAGGTCTGGATTAAGGGGAGAAGGAGGTGCAGGGCAACTATTCCATCACTTCTTTCTTTCAAGAGCTACAAATGCTCACAGGACAAATGGCACATTCTGTGGCTGGGACTGGAGAAGAACCAGTGTGCAGGGTTGTACTGCAATGGACTCAGGTGTGTAGGGGCGTGGCCGAGGGGACAGGAGGTGGCACCTACCTGGGTGTACAGGTTCTGCTGTGGGTGGGCACTTGTGATGGGGACAGGAGGGGGGACCTAGGGTAGGCACTTCTGATGGGGTACATCGCGGTTTGGTACGGGTTCGGAGACGGCGAGTAGGGAGGAGGGGCGTTGTTACTCTGGGTCGGTGGCACCTTGTAGGGAGTCCCCGCGGTGTACCCTGCCACAGACACAAGAGGGGTCCCAGTCAGGGCCTGGAATGGCTGTTCAGGGCTGGCAGGAGGGCTGGGAGAAGCCATCCCCTGAGCAAATGGACCCCGAAGACTGCATGGGATGGAGAGGAGAAGGCAAGGCTCAGCCCAGCCAAAACACTCAAATATATTTAACTTATTTACTCAAATATATTTGGCTCAAATATATTTAACTTATTTACTCCACCAGTGCTCAGCAATTAGAGAAGGCCAAGATTTCAAGTCTAATATCCCACATCATCCTCCAGGCACTGAAACAGGGCGAAGAACACACAGAGCTTTTAGAACTCCCTCCTGATTACTGCAGATTGGAAAAATAGGTGTTAATTAACAAGGGGAATAGCTGTGACTCTTTTCCTCACTCACATTAGCAGGAAAACAACCATCTTCGAATGAGAAGTGGAAAAGGTTTGAAATATTGATTGGAGCAGAAGTTCAGCCTCCTCCATTAGGACTCCTCCAGGAACCCAGCATCAGCCACAGACCAACCAGCCTCCTTGTTTCACATTGAATGGATTTTTTTCTCTATTCTGAACTCGTTTTTTCAAACAAATACCTCAGAGGCTGCCAGTTCTCAGTGTCACACTTCATTTCTGAGGGCTGCCTAGAGATGTGGACCTGCTCAAGCCTGTGTGGTTTCACCACTTTGAATACCAAGACTTGCAGTGTTTCCTGACTGATGAATCACGGACAGTTTATCTCCTATATTAAAAAGGTATTAAAACATAATAACCAGGCAGATGTAATCTGCCGTGTTTATAAACTGGGGAAAAAACACAACAACCTGCAGGTAAAACAAAGTGAAAACAAGGTTTAACAACACAAGATGATAGAGGCTCCTCTCTGTCTGGCAGGTAATTTTAAAACCTAATTATGACTAACACCTTATTAGGATTAGGCTGCCGTGGCCCGTGCTGCTGCCGCTTTGTGGTTCAGCAGCAGCAGCAGCAGCGAGCCTTTAAGCTCCATCTTCTATTAAAATTGCTGATTAAATCCCTCATGTCACTCGAGAAATCTCAGCCTTATTGATCCTGCAGCTCACAAGTGCCCTGGATTGCACAGAAATGTTTTTCTATAAAAAGCTTCTTAGGGGGGGAAAAGAGCTCGGTGGGGAATTTTGTGTTGCAGTCGCCGCTTGTTTCCAGGGTTCACCCCGAGCAGGATTCCTCAGCTGGGCATGGAACTGACAGGATGTCCACAATTCTGCCCCTCTGCCTCCCTCAGGTGAAACCCCACCTGCAGAGCTGCCTTCAGCCCTGGGGACACAGCAGAAGGACATGGAGCTGCTGGAGAGGGTCCAGAGGAGGCCACTGAGATGTTCTGAGGGCTGGACCATGCCCGGTGTACAGCCCCTACCCCAAGGAATGGTAGGGACATCCTTTTCCCAAGAGAAAGTCTCCCAAAGGCTTTTAAAATATTTATTTTTAATAACTCTTTTCTTAAAAAAAAAAAATTACATTTCTTCCTCTCACCTTGTCGTGTAGTTGATTGAATTTAGTAAGAAAATGGAGTCTGGAGTAGGTGTAAGGTGAGGAACACTCTGACCCCACACCACTCATGCCCCAGATTAAGCAGGGGCCAGAGGACATCCCACATACCAGGGAAAGCATCCCAAGGTTTATCAGGGAGCTTATCAGCCCTCCTGGAGGCACTACTTATCCTCTTCAGGGATGAGATGACAAGGCTGCACTGGAAAAGCCTGTTTGACTGTGATCCCTCAATGGCATCGCCTCCCCCTTCTCCTGCTCAGCCAGCCTGGGTTACAAGGTGGGAGTTTCAACAGTGTTCTTTGAAAATCAGGCTTTATTGTGGAATTCTTTCAGTTTTAAGGGAATGGGGAATAATGTCCCTTTGGAGATAAACACCTGTCAACAACCCCAGGTTGCTCCCAGGGATCAAACACTCAGCTAAGAGAGAGGTTTCACCTTCTCCACTGGAATTCCTCCTCTGCAGGAGCAGCAAGAGGGTCAGTGCTCTTCTTTCATGGTCCTTCATGGTTTTAATCCATCAAAACCAGGCTGGATGGGGCTTGGAGCAACCTGGTCTAGTGCAAGTTGCCCACAGGGCTTGGAGCAAGGTGGTGTTTAAGTCCCCCAACACAAACTACTCTTTGATTCTGTGATCCCAAATAACCCTGCCCACAAATCAGTCCCCAGCAGGGGAGGCAAACAGACACAAACCAACCCAGCAGCCCCCCAGAAGGAAAGTTTGTTTACTGAATGCTGCAGAAGAAGCCTGGTAGGTTCTGTTCTCGGTGCCAGCGTCCACCGGGAGGTGGAAGGTGCCCTCGGTGGCACAGGACGAGGAGGTCTGGGGCCAGGCCTGCTTCATCAGAAGTGTGGCTGGAGTGGACACAGAGAAGAGGTGTCACAGAGCAATGACAGGCAACTTCCCACACTTATGTCACCTTGGAATCACCTTGGTAATCTCTTCCCTCCAGGTTCCTACCCCTGAGGTGCTGAGCCCCACGGGAGGGACTTCACTCCCCAGTCAGGGCTTGGAGATATTCCTGGAGTCCCAGGGCTGAGCAAGGATGTTCCACACCCTCCACACCTGCTGAGACTCTGAATTAACCCTCTCTGAAGGTACAGCTGTAAATCTGGAGTGTCACAGGGCTGCAAGATGGGAATTATTGGGATCAATCCTCTGGAGTGGGGAGGCTGAGGAGGAATTGGCAGTGGGGCCACAGCCTGCAGCAGCACAACACATCGCAGTGGATGGAAATCCACCTCCCAGAGGGTGCAGGGAAGCACTGCTGCAGGTCTGCTGGTCCACCAAGCCCTCCTGAGACTCTCCCAGACTCAGACAGGAATGGGGAGCACAGAGGACACCCAGCAGTGCTGCGTTGCTGGCCATCAGCAGCTGTGGGAGATACTCATGGGTGTGAGATCCACCCGGAGATGTGGAACCCTGCTCCTCCCTCCTCCGACAGAAAACCAGGAGCTTTGTGGGAAGTCAGAGATTCAAGCCAAATTTCTCCTCCACTCGGTCACTGATCACTTTCTGCTCCCAGTGTCTGCCCTCTCCCAAAGGTTTGGGAGTTATTAAGGATTTCCAGGCTGCCTTGCTTTATTTTCCATGCTAGGCTGCACTCAGGAACATCACACTGGAGAGCAACTCCCAGTGCTGCCACAGAAACACTCCCTCACTTATGCTTTTATTCAGAATCAGATTCACTTTTGCCTCTGGATTTCACAGAGGTTTTAATTTCTGAGACTGATGAGACAATTCATTCCAATGTTACATGAATCCTTCCTCTGTGGTTTTCCCTCTCCACATTAAACCTGCCACAAAATCAAGGCAATTTGGGTTGGAGATGGCTGGGAGACTGTCAAAACTCTGCATGTTCTTTATTAAATCATGGATCCTCAGAGAATCCATCACTTAAAACTACACAAAAGGTGGACCAAGGAGGCTTCCAGGAACATAAATACCTCCTGGTGCTTTGCAATAATTCACAGGGGTCACAATCCAGCCATGACTATCTAATAACATTTAAGGGCTGCCTCCAACCAGTCTCTTCTGGATTTGGTTTATCCTCTCACCTAAATATAAATAAAATAAAGAGTTTTTATTAATTATCAGTTTAATCTCTGGCAAATCAACCAGTGGGAACTGGGCAAACAACGTGAGCTGTGGGTCTCTGCAGCACTGGGACTGCTCTGTTTTCCTGACAGGACCTTTAGATGACGTGGGAATGTTCAGGACACATTTTAAATGGAAAAGACAAAAATACCAACCCTTTCAAAGCATTGTAGGATATCTTGCTTCCCTCTAACACCCTCATTTGTGATGGATACAGCCTCCAGCCCTGAACAAAGTTTGCAATAAGCTCAATTCCCCAGGCAGTCCTGTGCCTGAGCTCCTCAAAAGGATGGGAACATTTATCCTTGGAAAGCCTGGTGAGGCACCACGGGATATTCACCTCTCCAGACCCCTTAGGGACCCACTGGTGTCCCCAAAGAGTCACTGGGCACCTCTAGAGGATGGCTCAGAGCACTGCTGATGCTCCCACTCCCTTCTGCAAAGCAGCATTTCCTCCAGGCAGCATCCAGAAGCAGGAATGGGGGATTGGAGCCTGCGTCCTGTCCCACGACATTCCCACACAGATCCCTAATTTCTGAGGCTGGTTTCAGTCCTGCTGCAAAGCCATCACTTCTGCCCTGCATTATTAATAAACACAGCTCCAGCCTCAGCCAGCCTCCACGAGCAAAGTGTGTGTCCTACTTTCAGGAAAAGAAAAAGGGAGGCTTTAATGAAGGAAGTTAAAACAAAACAACCACGAGCAAGACAGAATGCCTGCGAGGGAACATGCACCAGGCTTAATGAAGACATACATAATTTTATTTTTTTTTAATTGTGTCTCTGCAGCAGAGTGATTTTAGATGCTCATTTCTGCATACTTAAAAGGGATTTTTTAAGAACATCAGGCTTATTGCAAGCATGAGTTTGCAATGCTGGTGTTTTGCCTTGTGTCTCTCCCTCTAAAAACTGTGGAAAATGCAGCAGGAAAAATCACACAAGGCGGGAACTTGAAGTGGAATGGAAAGGAATTGATAGAATCACAGAACATCCTGAGTTGGGAGGGATCAACCAGGATCATCCAGTCTAACTCATGCCCTTGCTTGTAGGGCTCCTTTGGAACAATCTGGGGAATAATTTAACACCTTTTGGGCTCGAACAGCAGCAAATATCCACTCAAAACCTGGCACTGGGAGAGGGAGAAATCAAGACTGGCTCCAGTCACCATTTCCCTTTCCTCACTGGAGGACTGGACCAAGGGCACTCCAGACTTCTCCAAGTTCCTCTCCTTGTTTCCTTCTGATGCTGTTGCAAAGCTTAGGTCACTACATCATTTAATTTCCCATGTGGATCCCAGGATTTTGGGAACCACGAGGTCAAGAGAAGAGCATGAGGCATGGCTGAAGCATCAGGTAGTGTTTGGAGAACATCAGGGACAAAAGCAGGTGGGATTTGAAAACTGGAATTATCTTCACTCAGGGTTTGATCTCCCACCAAGACTTTGCATGGAATCCACCAAAATTCATGAGGTTTGAGGCAAGAAACATCTGAGAGGGAGCAGGAGCACCAGGCTGGAGCAGAGATGGTGATCAAGCTGGGACAGAATGGTTCTGTTCAAGAGCCCTTGCTTGCAGGTACCTCCCAAGAACTCAGAAACCACAAGCTCTTCCCACCCTTTCCAGCCTCTGTGCCAAGCAGTATTGAGGGGCACCTTTCCCTGGGTAATCTCCATCTGGAGAATCAGATGAACCCTGAGTTTGTGACTGCTTTTTAGTGAGCTGGAGGCATTTCTGCCAGCAGGAACCACCTCCTGCCCAGCCTGGGAGCTTTGGAACACGACCTTGTCCATGGATGGGGTGTTCAGGAGCAGTTATTCTGCTGGGAACATGCAGCATCTCTTTCTTTTTTAGACTCAATGTCTAAAATCCCTTAAAAACATAATTAGAATTAGTTTGCTGTTTGAGAAGTCCAAGATTTGAACCCCCAAGCTGATTCCCAGTGTGTTTGAAGGACACCAGGAGCACTTTCTCTTTCCAGCCTCCTGTGTGACAGCAGCTCCTTCAATTTGAGGAAACACTCTCTGTACTGATGAAGGTTTTAGCTCAGCCACTGAACCACAGAATTAGCTCAGCCCAATTCCATTTAACACAGTTGAGGATGCTGTCACTCTGTCACATGTCCCCACTGCTGGGAGATTTTATGGCACTTCTTTTCCATCAGTTAGCTCTCAAAGTAACTTATTTTTTTTCCTCCTGGAAGTCTGCTTTCCATTGAGAAGGGACCACTGAGTGTGGTGCTGGGAGGTCCTGAGCAGCAGAGCCTGCTCCTGCTTCCCAGATGGTTAAAATGGTTTAATATTCTGCTGTGATGTGAAATGGTATTGATTTCAAGAGCTGTAAAAATTGTTTAGAAGAGAACCACTGAATGGTTTGGGTTGGGAGGGACCTTAAGGACAATCCAGTTCCAACCCTGTGCCTTGGGCAGGGACACCTTTACCTAAACCAGGTCTCTCCAATTTGCCCTCATGATTTATGGGAAACTCTATGAAAAGTTTCAGCATTTTCATTCCCATTTCAATTTCTGATTTTTAATCTTCATAATTTCCTTGCTAGTTTAGTGCTTAGCTGTGTTAACCACTGGAAGGTTTTTGTTCTCCATAAAAATTGACCTGTCAGCTCTCTGGCCATCAGGAGATTTCCAAGATGGAAATTATTAAATGGTGTCTAAGATGTACAAGAAGCAATTCAGACCCCCCAAAAAATCCCTGTCCTTCAGTGATTTGGGGTTTCCTCTCACTTGGGTGTTCCCTTGGCCATGTGCCCACTCAGTGGAGGAGCTGCTGCCTGCACGACTGGGGACAAGTGACATTTTATAATATCCAGGCCAAAATGCCAGAATGCTGCAGTATTTACATTCCTGGCTGAGCAGGGAGGACATTGCCAGCCTCTGGCAGGACAAGCTACTAATAAATTTATGGGCTTTTTCTTATTCTACGGAGTTGTTTTCATTTAATTCCTCCAGTGTTTTATCCTTCAGGGGAAAGGAGGGTGGCCAGCACAAATCCAGGGGAACAAAAACTGTTTCATGTTCCATGTTAAGGATTTAATGGGAAGAAATGCAGCTAAAGACCTTATTAAAAGCACATAAACCCAAACAAAACACAACAGATCCCTTCCAGAAACATCCACAATAAACAGTTTTATGGAATATGTGTAAACTGTGATGTGGAGAAGACAAAACCAAAAGATTTTGGCAACAAACCCTTCATTCCTGTTTCATCAGCCTTGGAAAGCATCTGAGCCTGGGGATCCACTGATTTTGTGACAACTGGGAGATTGAAAACTTGGCAATTAAGGGGAAGAGAGGGTTTAGCAAGACTGGCACAAAGTCCAGCTTTGTGTTCCTTATGCAAGCAGCTCTTCCTGCTGCACACCGAGCTCAAAACTCAGCTTCATTTGGAAGTGCTAAAACCCTGCAGCTCTTCTGAGGCAAAACCACTCAAAATAAACATCTCAAGCAACCAGAAGTCGAATTGAAGGGCGAGATATTATTTTTCATCTCCAGTGTGTGCTTGGAAATGGACGAGCAGGGAATGTTTTCAGGTTTTCTCAGGATTTTTACCTGGGGCGTAGCCAGGGCTGCTGGTTGGATACATGTTGGGATTGTAGGCTGGGGCAGCAGTGGGATAGCCTGTTGGATAACCTGAAAGGAGAGGAAAACAGCAGTTAGGATTTTATCAGTCAAGCAGGGATGGCAGCCCTGAAAAGCAATAAACAACCTGTGTGAGCACACAAGCCACTGAGGGAAACCACAGGTGGATTGTGTGGGGACAGGAAGGACCACGAATGCGCTCCACATGTGACATCATCAATATTTCATCCTTATTCCTGTAGGAAACAAGGATCAGAATGCAGAGTGCAGGTGTGCTCACTGTGCTTTGGAGAAAACTGCTGGGAAAAACCATACTCTGAACATGGAATTCGTGTACAAAACCCCACCAGCACAGCAATACTGGAAAGGTTTTCCTGGGCTGTGTGGCAGCACTTTGGAGAGCTCAGCACTCCCATTAAGCAGAGTTTCTTGCTGAAGGGAAGGCAGGGATCCTGCAGGAAAACATGCCAGCCTTGGATTCACCCATGGCTGCACAAGTGCTGTTCCCAGGAGGGCCCTGATTACCTGCCAGGCCACCTGGAAGGGCCCTTTGGAGCCACGCAAGGTTTAATGGGCACTTTGGGCAGGGCTGCAGAGCATCTTCAGCTTGCATCAGCCTCACTGGGAGAGGTCAGAGGGAGTTCAGGGGAGCTGTGTGATGGAAGTGGGGGGCTGGAAATCGTGGCACACCCCAGATCCTGTGTGCACCCATGCAGTGCAGGTGTCCAGCATCCAGCTCCTACTTCACTGGAAATTCCTGTCCTCTGTGGAGAGCACAGACACAACTTCTGCACCTCGGTCTGCTCCTTTCCCACAGAACCACACGATGTCCTGAGCTGGAAGGGACCCCAAGGATCATCCAGCTCAACACCTGGCCCTGCACAGACACCCCAAATCCCACCCTGGGCATCCCTGGCAAACACTCCTGTGGGGCTGTGCCCATTCCCTGGGGAGCCTGGGCAGTGCCAGCACCCTCTGGGGAAGAACCTTTCCCTAAAATCCAACCTAACCCTGCCCTGGCACAGCTCCAGCCCTTCCCTGGGGTCCTGTCACTGCTCACCATTTTGCTTTTCCTTTCCTTCAATTTTTTGCAGGTTTTCCCTACAGAAAAGAGCAACATCTGAATAACTCCATCCTCCTTAGGTGCTGCTAAGTAAATCCCCCTGGCACAGGGAACAGGACACATTAACCCTGCTCTGCTGGTGGACAATTTTGGCTCTGCTGAGCGTCACCACCCGGTTTATCTGTGTGTCCCCTTGGCCAGCATCCCAGAGCAGAGCCAATGCAATGCCCTTGGAGAGTGTTTCCATGCCAAGCCCCACTGATACTGCCTGTTGGCTGCCAGCAAAGGCTGCAAGGAGGTAATTAGCAGTGGATTTACACCCATCCTTTTAAATATTTTATTTTATTAAATAAAAGCCAGCATGGGTCTGTACTCCCCTCTTCTGAGCACCAAAAGAGCCACAGAACAGTCCCCCCTCCCACACTCCAAATCCCACTGCTCCCAAACCCTGGCACCACTGACTTGTGTGGCAAAATGTTGAGGTTCATTTGAATAAATCTAATTCAACAATCATGGCCACTGTACTGGAATAAATGACTGGATGTTCTACCCTCTCATTTTCATCAGTGATATATTTGGCTTCTAAATCAGGTTAATTAAAAATTGCTGTAGTTAATGTTGGATAAGCAGCAGTTTAACAGATTTTTTTTGTTGTTTTTAGGCTACACAGAACTCTGTTTTCATCGTACTCAGGAATATCTAAACCCTATCAGCAATCAAGAAGCTCCTTAAAAAGTTATTTGCAGATCCAGTGATTGCAAGCAGAGCATTAATGATGAGGATCTTAAATCAGAAATATCCCTTCTCTCCAGTTCATTAGAAGAAAACCATGTCTTTTCCAGGACATTCATTACTCCACACTCTTCCTGTTTCCTCCTGGCAATCTGGCCAGGAGTGCTAAACCAGCTCCAGCTCACTTCTTGTGTATTTTCCTGTGTTTCTTCATGGGGTTTTACCTTTTTGGCACATGGCTTAGTGGAATCCCAGACTGGCTGGGGTTGGAAGGGACCTCAAAGATCATCCCAATTCCCTGCCACGGGCACAGATGATGATGGCTGTGTGTGCCATGGTGTTGGGAAGTCACATTTGCAAGGGATCTAGATGACAGGCTCTCGGAGCTCCAAGAGGTTCTTCTGACCCTTTGCTGCTGGAAAATCCCCCCAAATAAGCCCTGAATCCCACAAACTGCTGCAGTCTTTAGTAATAATCCTTAATTTCCTCAGTCACCAGCCATGAGAAACACAGTCCTGTGTTGTCACAAATGTTTCACCTGTGCCCTCTGAGATGCCACCAGCACCCACCCACTGTCAAAATCAGGAAAAAAACCTCCTTTACTCGAACTAAACTTTGCAGCATTGGGGTTATACCTTTAAAAAAAGAGCCTGAAATAAGTAAAACCACACGAAAAGTGAGGTTTTGGGTAAGATTTTCCATCCAGCTGAGTATTGAAGGATTTATTTCAGGCAGATGGAGGCACCTCCATGTGTATTTATAGAATCACAGAATTGTTTCACTTGGAAAAGACCTTCAGGTCCAAGCCACCCCAGCACTGCCAAGGCCACCACTGACCCATGTCCCCAAGTGTCACATCCACACCTATTTTAAAACTCTCCAGGGCTGGGGACTCAATTGGTCTTTCTCCTTTTTTTGGGTTTTGGCAGGACTCTTCCTTACTGTGATATCTTTTGTTTTGTTGTTCTGAAGGTAAGTTATGGCTGGGTTTGGATTCATTTCGGCTCAAATAAATGTGATTTCTATCAAGGAAGCTTTAATAGCTTTGGATGCAAAAAGAAGCCCTGCTCTGCACTATCTTCCACTCTGATCTCATAAACTTTGATAAGTGCTGACCTCCAGCAAGAAAACTTGTCCTTTCTATTTTAAGGCAAAGCAGAGATGGGAAAGGTACAGGAAAATTAGTGTGGATTGCTCCTTTTTTTGGACACAGTGAAAAATAAGAAAGTAGCAGAATCTGGGGCAATTTGTGCCAGAAGAAACATGCCTGGAAATTCCCAGCACTCAAAATCCAGCAGGTTTAAAAATAAATGAGGCATTTTTTATTTAGCAGGGCCTGTTGTGATTGGACAAATGGAAAGGTTTCAAACTGCAGGAGGGTTGATTTAGATTGGATATGAGGAAGACATTTCTTACAATGAGGGTGATAAAACATTGGCACAGGGTGCCCAGAGAAACTGTGGCTGCCCCTGGATCCCTGGAAATGTCCAAGGCCAGGCTGGACATTAGGGTTTGGAGCAGCCTGGGGTAGTGGAAGGTCCATGGACACTGAGTGATCTTCAGAAGGTCTGTTCTGACTCAAAACTACTCCATAATCCTATAATTTTTATATCTTACTGATTTTGTTTGTTGGCTCTTCTTCATCCCCCAAATAATCCCAAATCAGCTCCCACATGGAAGAAAAAGCTGTGCTCCCCCATGATGGTCATGCCTTACATTCCCTTGGGTACAAAACAAAGCCTGGCTCCAACAACCAGGAATGATCTCAGGAGAGGTGACAACACCAAAGCATGCAGCATCCTGCTCTGATTTTCCCCCTGGAAAACCCAAGACACCCTCTGTAAATTCCTGCTCCTGCCACTGCTCCCCTCCTGCCATGTCTGTCCTGCCTCGTCACCTTGAACGAAAAATAACAGCAAGAGGCTCAAACCCACTTGACATATAATGTCAGGACCAGAAAGAAAATATCCTTTACTTCCTATGCATCTGCACATGACAGGACTCTGGCTCTGCTGTGCTTGAGGCCTCGCAGTGGTGCAGAAGGAAAGAAAATGAGATGAAAAATATTGAACAAAATTTATTAGATTCCTCCTAGCAGAAATCTAAAGTTGTTTTGCGGCTTATTTTAATTTAATATCATCTCCACAATCAATAGGAGTAAGAAAGGCAGTGTTCATTTAATCTCCTCCCCAGGGAAAGCACACAGCACTCCAGCTCTGGGAAGCACTGGCTGAGCTGCTTTAAAAACCACCACACAATAACTGCAAAGCAAAAAGCACACAGGGCTGCAGCAAGTAGGTATTTAAAAGCCATCTTTAATTTTTCATGTATTTTAAGTGTTTCTGTATCATAATCATCTAAATAACACCCAAACCATGACAATACACAAGTGCTAAAGCTCTGAAGGTTCTCTTGGAATTCTTGAAAGGGAATTTGCTTCTCTTTGGCTACAGAGCCCATGCTTGGTCCATGGTCTCAGCCTCCCACCCATGGGGAACTGTCACTTCCAACACTGAATTCCAGAATGTGCCATTTCACTTTTTCCAGAGCAGTTTCATTGACCATTATCTGATCAAGGCCTTAATTGCTACGAGCAGCTGACATTAATTTACAAGACAAAATATTTCCCCTCCATTCTTTTCCTTCACCAGTCTCCAGCAGCACAGACTCCTGAAAGCGGCCATGTCACAAGGATTTTTTACAGGATGATAAAGTCCCTTATCTAAGGACAGGACAAAGCACTGTAAAACCACACTTCAACTCCTTGAGCTGCCAAGGACTCCAGCTCCACACTTGCTGCGATTGAGAGCTCAATTAACCACCAGCAATCCTTGGAAGGAGAAGCCAGGTAGCCACACAAAACTGCCCCTCTTGTGGCATTACTGCTCTGAGGTGGGTAAATATGAGAGGAATTTGAGATAATAGGAGGTAAATTTGCTGCCCAGGGCACAGGTGAGTCCCCGTGCCTGAATCCATGTGGATGTGGTGCCTGGGGACATGGGATCAGCAGTGGCTTTGGCAGTTCTGGGGAAATGGCTGGACTCAGTGGTCTTGGAGGGCTTTTCCAACCTGATTCTGTGCTTCTGTTTTACCAATCCTCCCTCTAAACCCCGTTAGCCACTGTCCACCCCTTTGTTTCTGCTGAGTGACAGCTTTGAAGCTGCAGCAGCCCCAGGAACATTTCTGCTTTATGATCACCTCCTCGGGTCAGCCAGATGGAGCCAAAGCATTTTCCCCTGCAAAACGCTTTCATGTT